GCTGACAAACACTCTCGGTCTATCTGTAAACTGCCAGGCAGTAGGACGGATCGACTGTCTCTGTCTTCATGGTTGTTCTTTGGTTTTCGATGGATCTATCTCTTCTCTAAAGCGAACAGAAGCGTAGTGAAAGCTGATTTCTAATGTCGGCAGTGTGACGTAAAAGCAGCTAACAACTTTTAGCTTTAGTTTGACTCCTCGACTGTCTGTAACAAGCGCAAAGACCGAAGCAGAAATAATTTGTCAGTCTGTTGGTTTGGAGTTGGTATGTGGCTTTAGAGAGCAGCAGCAACGTTATGGAGACACCTGAACACATCAGTTGACAAAACAACAAAGCTTTGAGGCTGATGAAGAAGAAAACTAACCGAGTAAGTTTATTATATTTTATCGTGGATCCGTTTGTGTATAATTTAGAGTTAGTTGGATAAAGCATTTTACGTAAATGCACGTTTCTTGTGAATAAATGTAAAACGCAACAATTAAATTCTAAAGTTGTAAGAAAAGTTATTGCTAAAGAAGCTGATTGTTCAGTGTGTTGTATCAATGCATATTTATCAAAAGTTGAGTTGCAGGAAAAGCTGTGCTAATAAAGGAGCAACAGTGATAACTGAAGTCTTGAGAGAATTGTCAAAGAGAAAAAACCCCTCAAATTTCAAGTCAATTCACAGGGATGAAGGAGTGAACTGATGCTGGATTCAGAGCAGACTCAGTTCACTCCTTCACTCAGGATTCACCAGAGACAATCCTAGATACAAACATCTTACCTGGAGAGAAGAACTGGATCGTTGCTCAGTGGGTCAAAGTTCTGCTTTCAGATGAAAGTAAAGTTTATATTTCATTCAGAAATGAAGGATCCAGAAGTTTGGAGGAAGAAAGAAGAGAACCAGAAACCATGTTGATTAAAGTCCAGAGTGAAACTGATTGGATAGAAATTAACAGATTTTTCAGAAACCTGATATCTGTTTAGGATATTTATGTTTTTATTGATCTTTACAACTTTCTAATTGTAGACAACCATCAAAATTACAAGAATTCTTAAACTAGTGTCTTAAAGTATCTTTGTAGTGGATATAAATGAGTTTAACTTTCTGAAATGAGAAAAACATTGAACATACTGAGACCAGACTTTTACTCAGAAAATGTTTTATAATTAAAGTTTCAGCAGCTGCAGAGAATTAAAACATGTCCTGTCTAAACAGTCTTTATTCTGCTCCATGAGTTCAGTTGTTCCTTGTATACTGAGTGATGTTCCTGACGTTCTGCTGCCTCTCCTCCTCCTCTTCCTCTCTCAGGATGAAGATGATCTCCCTGCTGCTCCTCATCCTCAGCTCATGTCTCTGTGGCCAGTCTCCATCTTGTCTTTGTGACAGAAAGCTCTCTAGATGGAGCTGAAAGACTCCCATGTTCCAGTTCTCAGTGTGTCTGCTCCTCTCTTTCCCTCTCTGTCTCCTCAGCAGCAACATTTGTAGTGAATGTGACCCAGAGCAGCTATGAGGCAGAGGAGAACCACAGCATCACTCTGGAGTGGACCTTCACCACCAGGACTCAGGGATCCGACAGGGAACTGTTCATCTACTGTGATTTCATAACATCAGTAAAGAGCAGGATAATATATGTTAATCATGAAGGTGTTGAGATTCCAGAGTCTCAGGATGATCAGTTTTCAGGACGAGTCCAGAGTGACAAAGACGTCCTCAGAGAAGGACGAATCAGACTCCATGTGTCCAGACTGAGGACTGAAGACTCTGGTCTGTATCTGTGTGAAGTGAAAACTGAAGATGGATTCAACTCTGGAAGATGTCGACTCAACGTTACTGGTGAGAAGAAATAATTTTCTCTGCTTGTTCAAATCTTGATTCCTATATTGATTAACATCTTCATCTTCATCATGAATCCTCCTGGATCTCAGTTTTCATCAAATATTAATAAATACTTCTGGTTTCCCTCCCAACAGCTGCTGATCAGATCCAAACTCAGAGACCAACTTTGACTCCAGAACCAGAGAGAGGAGGAAGAATCTGCCTCATTATCGCTGTTGGACTGACAGCAGCAGTTCTGATTGGTCTTTTTTGTAGTTTTTTAGCAAAACATTTTCTTCCAGTTTATTGTAGTGATGATAAAGAGACAAAAAAGTTCAGAAGTCTTCTCAGTAGAAACAATCTGATCAAAAGATACAAAATGTAGATCTGTAGCATCAACACAACAAACTGGTTTATTTGGTCGATTATTGTCACCAGCTGAAGGATTTTAAAACTGATACGTTATATAAATGATCTGTATTATATATAATTTAAGATTATAATTCATTTCAAGTTCAGTGTTTCAGGTTTTATCTGA